GGTAAGAATGTGTTATTTTTCTTTTCGCTTAATAGGTCTTTCTCTTTTATTCTTTTAAATTTTTTATTCCTTCATTCTTTCCTCACTTTCTCCGTTGACCCCTGATTTATTGCTATTTTGATATGGTTGGATTTTTACGTGTGTATGTGTGTTTCTGTGGGTGTGTGCTTATGTGTGTCTATTCATGCGCACACATGTATGTATACATACTTACAAATATGCACGTATTCATTCAGCCGTACCTATATGTTCGTGTACTTGCATATGCGCATCTAATTGTGTCTTTGTGTTTGCGTGTGCATTTGTGTTAACTATGTATGTCTCTGTTGATCTCGGGTTTATTATTATTATTTGGTACATTTAGTTTAAGTTTTGACTGATTTTTTTATGCGTGCATATATTTTTGTGCGTGTGTGTGTTTATATGTGTATTTGTTTTTGCACCGGTGTGTGCTTATGTGTGTGTGTGTCTTTTGTGCTTGCACGCATGCATGTAAACATACACACAAAAATGTGCGCACTCGCCCTTGTATGCTTGTGTGTTTCTGTTTATGTTTGTGTTTATGTGGGTGGGTGTTATTGCTACAAAAATACATAGGATAAACCTCAAGGAATGTAAATAAAAGATTATATAAACATAAAAATGGACATTTTACAAAATAAAACATCAAATGCGTCGGTTGCTCTACGTAACGAGACTGACCACAACTTTGGCAAAAAATGCTACTTTGCTGATCGAAGGCGAAGATATTTCACAACGACGTAAATGTCTAGAGAGAGCCTTAATCGCAAAGGCCATCTACAATAAATTTCCTTCCTGTTTCTTCCAACATTACACCAAACTTGGCAGATCTTCTAATATCACAGTATGAAATACCTATTTACAAAAATGATGGAAAGAAATAGACAAAGAATTAAAAATCTTTTTTTAAATTCCCAGCATCCTCTGTCGTGCGTATATGTAGTCCTAACAACATAAAAAATTTATCCCGATGAAATCCTAAAGTACGAAACGCGTCACAAATAAACTTTTTCCACTTTTTTCATACAATTCCCTCATATATATATATATATATATATATATATATATATATATATATATATATATATAAATATATATATATATATATATATATATATATATATAGAGAGAGAGAGAGAGAGAGAGAGTGGAGTATTTAATAACGGTAAACATTTAAGGATCTAAATCAAAGAACCAAACTAAATGCAGTCTGGTTCCAGTGAAGTATCTGTCAGATATTCATGAAGCACTTTATTCCATCAATATAAATAAACTAAAAAAAAAAAATACTCTAGTCGTTCCTGTGTCTTTAAAGAAATGCTACAATCGAATGTTCTGGATAACCTGAAACTACATCCAAACATTTAATTTTCGTAGAGTTTTAATTGGATTAAACACCGGCATCTTTTTGTCTGTCGCTGGATCGAGCAAGTATTAAGCGAACGTTACTACTCTATGAGCCAAATTCCATTCCCTGCAGCCAGATGAACGAAAGATAATTTGTATTGTTTGTCTTTCCGACTGAACGAATAATTGACTTTTTCAACTGCAGTAATCAAGTAGGCGTTTCTTGACTTCGGCATCACAAACGCAGGGAAGAGAGAGAGAAAGAGAGAGAAAGAGGAGAAGACGATGACGACAACAAAGCCTACACTCATGAATCGGGGCTGGTACCAAATCACTGAAATCTTAGGTAAAAGTGTTGGTTTGAGAATTTGGTAATATAGTGGTTGTGAGTTCAATCATTTAGTCGGGTAGAGTTTATTGTACTCCGTAGAAGCGGGCGTGCAATAACTGAACAGTGATAAATAAAATAAGAACTAGACGACATCCTTCGACATGAGCAGTGGAATGAGATCAGTCAATCGGAGATTAAATAAAAGTTTCAGTTCAGAATTCCCTATAGGTTATCAAGGTCGATTTAAACCTGAGGAAGGCCGGAGGGCACAACGGGCGAAACATTGTGATAATAACAACATAGATAAGGACAATTGTCCGAATATAAATAGTAAAAAAAATTATTAATAATTTGCTCGCCTCTTCGCGAATGAATTCTTTACGTAAATACCAACGCGTTTTTCTCTTACTCCAACGAAATCCCTTTCTTTATCTCGCTTTCTCTCTCTCTCTCTCTCTCTCTCTCTCTCACACACACACACACACACACACACTGATACACACACATACAATGTCTCAGCATTTCACAGTTGAAAGCAAAAGATAAAATCGATCTTCTACCCTAACGGTAGAGAGGTCCACAAAGACCTCGCACTTCCTGTTTGTTGAACTCTCTTCCGGTTTCTTGCTTTCCAGTGAACGTTGGTCTGAAAAATTTAAATGCTATTTAAACCACTATCTACTGTTTTCTTGATTCAGCTTCTTTTATTTACGGGTAGTTGTGTGAGGAATTATAAAGATCAAGTTTTTCACACACAGACAGAATCAGAATCTCAAGGATTTTATCAATTTACAGTTGAATGGGGTAGATGCTACCGTAAGTTCTATGCTAAGAGTTTCTGCTTTTGCACTTCTCATTTGTGGAACTCTTTTCAGTCAACTTTGTCAATAGTTATCTTCTGTTTATTTTTAATTGCTGTTTCTTTTTTAATTGTTCTCTCCCCTTAATAATAATTTCTTTTTCTCATATTCTTTTACACCCAGCAATCTCTTACGACTTTATTGTCTTCCTTGTGGTGAAATGATACAATAAAAAAGATGCGCTTGCCGAAAACTAAACTCGCAAGCCCTCGTTAATGCTTTCGATACCATATTTTTGTGCTGTACCATAATCGTAAGCGTTTCTGTAATTTGCTAAATTATGCCAGAAAGGGAAATTCTGTTGGGCCAATTGTTATATGAAGACCCTGCCAGAAAATCAACAATACAAAGTTTTCCTCTAGGCTCTAACTTTTGCTTTTTATATTGGGCTGTTCCTGTCTTCTTACAATTGACGTTTAGTCCTATATTGTCACTTTTATGCATTACTTTCTATAGGAGTAGTTTCCATTCGCTACCTGCTATTATTAGTGTCATCAGCCTGTCTTATGTTGTTAGGATTGTAGCCGCCAATAATGAATCCTGGTAGGTCTTTTAATTCTCTTAGAATCACCTCGCTGTATAGGTTGAATAATTCTGATAGGAAGACATATCCTTGTCTTAGACAACTCTTCTATTTTTGTATATTTACTGAACTCCCTATTCATCCCAGGTGGTTCGCAGCCAATATAGGTTCTGGACTATTGTAAATATCCTTCCAAAATATTTCCAGGTTACCTTACAGTTCTAACAGTTGTTTGATACTACCTTTATCAAACGATTTTGCATAATCTATAGAACAAAGGTACACGTGCTTCTGCATTTGTATTGCCCTTTCTGATATCACTCTGAGCATAAATATCGCATTCCTTGTTCCAATGTCGTTGACGAACCTGCACTGTTCTTGTCCTATTTCTGGTTTGATGCTGATGCTCCCTCAATTCAACAGAAATGTTGTTATATGGCTCATTAGGCTGATTCATTTCCACTTGACTTCTTAGGCAGTGCTTTCGAAATGAATCTACTTAGGTCTTCCAGTATAACACCATTGTTGTATATTTCATATAATATTTTTGCAATCTTTTCCATATCGAGATCGACTACAGTTACAAGCTTCTCAATTAAAATTCCTTCTGTTCCTGATTCTTCAACATTTCTTTATTGCCACTTGCCATATTTTGATTTGGAATAGCTTTCTGCTGTATGCAATCCATCTCTGTGGTAATTTTCTTTATCTAATATCGGTATCCCGTCTTTGGATTTTATGCATCATATTGACAAGCAGGTCTTTTGTCCTTCTAGTCATCTTATTTTTTTTAAGCATATCTTTTATATCCGTGATACTCCTTCTTTCTTGTTTTTTTTTTAATTTTTGTTGAGTCATATCCTTTTGGCCTATCTATATTTGCTCCTAATTTTCCTATATCCTATATATAAGTCCTATATTATGTGCCGTATCTTAGCAATGTGTTTTTGTCTCATTTCACCATTTCATCGGCCATCGATTCTTTTTTCTTTCGTTTTGGTTTGGGTTTATCTCGATTGCTTCATTTGTGTATTCATTCTCATTTTGTCCATTCTACACGCTCTTAACACTGTTCGTATATCACTCCTGTATACAAGTAAGTAAAATCTATATCTTTCTTTTTTGCAAAGTGTAATTTATCGCTACAAATTCATCAAGGTTTAATAAGTCAAACTGGTACATTTGATAACGAACTGTTCACTTCGACATCCAGTGTAAAATATATTTTGTCGATCCTTATCATGGTATAACGCTTCCTTGTCCCAGTGATCCCAAGTGCGAAGCCATCTGGAGTTCCAACTCTTGTACGCTCCACCCATGGCAGTAAGATCGAAGAGAAAGGACCAGACTGAACGCGACCAACCCGCGAAGACCCCAATGGCAGAATAGATCTTTGCTATCTACAACACGACCAAACCGGCGGAAGATGGTAGCGCCAGTCGGGCTCCCGTAACCAAGGCGGATCTTGGCAGATCAAGCATCCGACAGCCCGATGCAACCAAATTTGCCAAGTCTCGCATGTCTCAATTCCCTTTGAGCCGCCAGCAAGCCGCTTTTGACCAAGCGTGTGGGTTTCTCCGTCGTGCAGAGTTTTGTCTACCAAAATCAAATCCACGCGAATGCTCTCGTCCAAATCTCTTTGATTCCCAGCCATCCCTGTCATTGTCACCGAGGAGTCGGGGAGAAAGGAAATAGGGAATGAGGGTGACGATCGCGATGCTTGCGGGTGCTGAAAAGACATTTTTTTTCTTTTTCTAAACACTTTCCTTACTTAGTTAATTTGTATTTGTCATTCCAATAATACGTTTATTAAAAAAAAACAAACAAAAAAAAACTCCATTATTCAGGGCCATTGAAAACAATTCTGGTGAATAAACGAAAAAATAAGAAAACGGTACAGTTATACAATAGGCATTACGTTAAAACACCGGATCTCGTACGATTATCGAAGCTACGCAACATCGAGCCTGGTTAGTACCTGGATGGGTGACCGCTTCGGAATACCCAGGTGCTGTAAGCCTGGGTGTGCGTGTGGTCTAATGGATAATAACTACGAATTGTTAATCGGAAAGCCGATTTGCAATTCCCTTACGCGCAAATACTTTTGAGGATGGCATGAATATTCTTATTCCCTGCAGGTATGGATTAATTATTAAAACTTTTATCAATAAATCATTATCTTCTCAAAAAAAATTCTTATAATATAAAAAATAGTCCTGGCTTTAAATAACCTACAAATGATTGATAAACCGCAGAAAACCCACCTACGGAAGACAAGACAAATATTCTCATACGACATCATTTATTAGAATATACAAAGATTTTTTAAAATTTGAAATTCGTAATCAATGATTCTTTTTTTTTTTTTTTGTATATATTTCTATCGATTACGTATTCCAGTTGACGAATGAAAAATAAGTAAATATTTTCTTTATATTTTAAGAAATCACATTGAGTGGGTATCTAAGTTTTCGTTACTTGGGGGATAAATTTATAAAATTTAATCAATATTTTTATCATCTGCCTATATTTTTGAGATGAGGTATTGTAATTATTTGCAGTATTTATATTGGCGGACTGTTGCCTTCATCTTTATTGCTATATTGGCGGACTGTTGCCCTCATCTTTATTGCTATATTGGCGGACTGTTGCCCTCATCTTTATTGCTATATTGGCGGGCTGTTGCCCTCATCTTTAATGCTATATTGGCGGACTGTTGCCCTCATCTTTATTGCTATATTACGAGTTTTTGGGCTGTTGTACGCTCCGGTCTTCTTCAGGTTCAAAATTCCAGCAAATATCACATGAAGAAGGAGGGAAAGTACAACAGCCGAAACATCGTAAATGTGGCTATAACGTAGAGGACAACAGTCTGAACAATGAAAATAGTATATATAATATATTTATATTTTTGATCTGGAGTGTTTAATTTGTAGTGATATGAATAAAAAAAATTGTAAAAAGGGGAATATTTCTGGTCGCAATGCAACTCCACCAAGAAAAAAAAAATCCCATTCAAGTTTGTTTCTTGTCATTGTGTTTCGGATTTTGTCGACTGCACAGTATAGTAGGGTCAGTTGGGCACCCTCTGTCAGAAAAAGAGCCCCATGACGCAATTCAGAAACTGCATGCTGTACTCCTTGGCATTCGCGCCGGAAGCTCCAATACGAACATTTCAGAGTGTTTGGATGTTAATATGATGACAGTGCAGAGGATTTGGAAAGAGGTGGATGTGTCTAATGGTGATTACGAAGGTGTTTGGAGTGATCACTAGTGATGGCGACGTTATTTCATTCCTCTTCCCACAGAAACTCAGACTCAACATAGAGTCTTACATCAAGTACTTTGAGGAGGTAGTGTTGCCCTGGGTCAAGAGGGTGGCTTCTTCTGGAAGAACCTATGTCTGGCAACAGGACTCTGCACCATGCCACACAAGCAGGAGAATCCAGTCATGGCTGTCAGACTATTTCTACAACCACATCACCCCTTACATCTGGTCACCTAACTCCCCAGACTTCAACCTCCTTCATTATTATGCGTGGTGCTCAATTGAGCGAGAGACCAACAAAACTATTTGTAAAACGAAAGCTGAAAGGTAAGGATTATGGCAACATTCAACCAAATTAGACGTTCAGAAGAGTTGCAGGAGATTCCGAAGTTATCTGGAATCCGTAGTTAAAACTAATAGCGATTTTAATAAATAAATTTACTCTTTAGTATTTCAAGATATTTTTGTGTAATTATGGTAAATATATCTGTTAAAATGTTCATTTTTGCGTAATTTAGATGACAATTTATCCATCGTACCCTGTATAGTACAGGTTTGTCAGTAACGATTTCATTAATTAATGACCAAAGACAATCTTTTTCTTCTGTATTTTGAAATCATTTCTGCAATAAACACATTTACACCTATCACGAGTAAAATCATTTACAATGCCATTTACAGATAAAAAAAAATTGTGATGATTTTCTGTACTGAAATCATTGGTATATACGCTTATATTGTACATATGCCAGCTGCATTAATTCCTGAACACAGACAATCCCTTTCTTTCTGATTTTCGTTTAAATTGCCTCAAAAATGTATGTTTTAACTTAAAGCACCAAATTTAAATTTTAAAAATCGAAAACACTTGCGTTTCGGCTTCAGTTGTTTTCTTAAGTTTCAGAAATATTTATTTTCTACTGGTCAAAATATTCAAAAGGTGAATTAGCCGGCCATCGGTAACGTCGGTGGCCATCTGTAAGAAAAATCCGAAAGCTAGCGCAAATCTACCCTTTAAAACACAGTCGACACTGAAATACTACATCAAAATGACTGATTATTCATTCACACTTCCCTACTGCTGCTATATATGTACAATTTTATAACGAATTTAAACCTTGACAAACAAACAAAGCAGGGCGTGGTATCACGTGTTATCTATAAACAATTTATTTATCACAAATTTCTAAAAAAAAAGTTATTAAATTCTAAAGAGAGTTAAACACACCGACGTGTTTACTACTCGAGCAACCAATCTTTTAATGCGCTCTCTTCGACCGACGACGGATAAAATTAATACGCAGTTGTTTAAAACGTTTGGTCTACGGGAGGTAACTCATTATTAATAAATAATTTTTGAACTGTGAAAGGGTCGATTGAAAAGTTTTATTTTCTATTATTTTAAAATAAAAAAAATGAAATCAGTTTGCAACTAAACGCGGCATTATAATTGTTTGCTAGAAAGGACAGTATAATTTCATTTGTTCATATATATATATAAATTCAAAACCTTATTTCCAAAATTTCATGTCCAGTTACGTCAGAAAGACGACAGTAAGTATTTCCTTAACTGTCGCTTCCAATATGATTTTAACGTTTTATCATCCTTTTTTTTAAATTTATTGTATAGACTTATCGACCTGACATTAAACATGTCAATCAAGGAGGAATTACTGCGTTAGTTTGATTGAGTCATAAATAATTTCCGCTTTTGTTTCGCTAACTTATTCTTCATAATAAAAACATACAATTAAATTTTATTCAAATATATATTCACCACTGCAAGGACTTGTCGCTACTTATCAGACAGCATTTATTCTTCATCTATGGGCCATGTCCCTTCAGGACGTGGGTGTATATGGCTCTCCACAGTTTCTATTCCTTTGATGCTCTTAGTAAATATTGTCTTTTCGCTCTCTTAATCTCTGTTAGCAACGATTTACTCATTATTATTATTATTATTCTTATTCTTATTCTTCTTCTTATTATTATTATTATTATTATTATATGTACCGTGTGACTTCAGTCATGGCTCTCTCCAATTTTCTGTCCTACCTCTCCTGTTCTGCCATCCATTTACACAAGCTCTTTTTCTTATTTTATGTACCCTGTCCCTTGAGGGTGTTAGCAATCATGGTTCTCCACATTTTCCTTCCCTGTGTAGCTCTTAGTAAAGTTGTTATTAGTTACATCTCCTAATCTCTGTTCTGCCAACCATTTACAAAATAATCTTCTTCTTCTTCTTCTTCTTCTTCTTCTTCTTCTTCTTCTTCTTCTTCTTCTTCTTCTTCTTCTTCTTCTTCTTCTTCTTCTTCTTCTTCTTCTTCTTCTTCTTCTTCTTCTTCTTCTTCTTCTTCTTCTTCTTCTTCTTCTTCTTCTTCTTCTTCTTCTTCTTCTTCTTCTTCTTCTTCTTCTTCTTCTTCTTCTTCTTCTTCTTCTTCTTCTTCTTCTTCTTCTTCTTCTTCTTCTTCTTCTTCTTCTTCTTCTTCTTCTTCTTCTTCTTCTTCTTTCTTCTTCTTCTTCTTCTTCTTCTTCTTCTTCTTCTTCTTCTTCTTCTTCTTCTTCTTCTTCTTCTTCTTCTTCTTCTTCTTCTTCTTCTTCTTCTTCTTCTTCTTCTTCTTCTTCTTCTTCTTCTTCTTCTTCTTCTTCTTCTTCTTCTTCTTCTTCTTCTTCTTCTTCTTCTTCTTCTTCTTCTTCTTCTTCTTCTTCTTCTTCTTCTTCTTCTTCTTCTTCTTCTTCTTCTTCTTCTTCTTCTTCTTCTTCTTCTTCTTCTTCTTCTTCTTCTTCTTCTTCTTCTTCTTCTTCTTCTTCTTCTTCTTCTTCTTCTTCTTCTTCTTCTTCTTCTTCTTCTTCTTCTTCTTCTTCTTCTTCTTCTTCTTCTTCTTCTTCTTCTTCTTCTTCTTCTTCTTCTTCTTCTTCTTCTTCTTCTTCTTCTTCTTCTTCTTCTTCTTCTTCTTCTTCTTCTTCTTCTTCTTCTTCTTCTTCTTCTTCTTCTTCTTCTTCTTCTTCTTCTTCTTCTTCTTCTTCTTCTTCTTCTTCTTCTTCTTCTTCTTCTTCTTCTTCTTCTTCTTCTTCTTCTTCTTCTTCTTCTTCTTCTTCTTCTTCTTCTTCTTCTTCTTCTTCTTCTTCTTTCTTCTTCTTCTTCTTCTTCTTCTTCTTCTTCTTCTTCTTCTTCTTCTTCTTCTTCTTCTTCTTCTTCTTCTTCTTCTTCTTCTTCTTCTTCTTCTTCTTCTTCTTCTTCTTCTTCTTCTTCTTCTTCTTCTTCTTCTTCTTCTTCTTCTTCTTCTTCTTCTTCTTCTTCTTCTTCTTCTTCTTCTTCTTCTTCTTCTTCTTCTTCTTCTTCTTCTTCTTCTTCTTCTTCTTCTTCTTCTTCTTCTTCTTCTTCTTCTTCTTCTTCTTCTTCTTCTTCTTCTTCTTCTTCTTCTTCTTCTTCTTCTTCTTCTTCTTCTTCTTCTTCTTCTTCTTCTTCTTCTTCTTCTTCTTCTTCTTCTTCTTCTTCTTCTTCTTCTTCTTCTTCTTCTTCTTCTTCTTCTTCTTCTTCTTCTTCTTCTTCTTCTTCTTCTTCTTCTTCTTCTTCTTCTTCTTCTTCTTCTTCTTCTTCTTCTTCTTCTTCTTCTTCTTCTTCTTCTTCTTCTTCTTCTTCTTCTTCTTCTTCTTCTTCTTCTTCTTCTTCTTCTTCTTCTTCTTCTTCTTCTTCTTCTTCTTCTTCTTCTTCTTCTTCTTCTTCTTCTTCTTCTTCTTCTTCTTCTT